ATATTCCAATGCACATAATATGCATAATTATTGCATTAAATTAAATTATATAATTATAACGTGCACGGGCCAACGCTTTTCGAATAGGAATAATTATTTATATAGGTATATATTATGATACATATCAGATGTATTGGGTGTAGGTAGGTGGGTGGACAGGTATACTTTTTTCCATAAGTTACACCGTTTCGAGCTTAAAGTGTTCGGCAATCTCTTTTAACGTTTTGTTTTCGGTTTCGGGGAGACGAAAGTAGAAATACACAAGACCAATTATCCCCACGACGCCGAATAGGACGAATGTGTTGTAGAAGCCGATAAACTCCTCGAGATTCATGTAGAACTTGGTCATGAAGAAGCTGAGAAAGAAATACACTGCGGAGCATATGCTGCAACCCAGGTTTTTGCTTCTGGAATGAAAAAAAGTAAATTTTGGGAGCTATATTTTGAAACATAAATGGCCCCTGCAAGGTAACTCGAACAATTGTTTTTATTTACAAATCATGAAGCACTGTATAAAATATAATGGTGTGTAATATGCTAATATATTATTATTTTATGCGTACTTCATCGGGAACACTTCGCTCATGAGGATCCATCCAATCGGCATWATGCCCAGCGACGAAGATAACGTTGACCCGAAGAACAGTGCCAATTTCGCCCAGGACGTGTATTCGGTATCGACATAAAATTGTCCGACGAAACCGATGAGCAGGTACGAAATCGAGCAGACGGTTATGGTCGACAGCACAAGGCATCTCTTGCCTAGCCGGTGCACCAACAGGATGGTTAACACATTGCCAATGATGCTGAAGCCGGGGTAGGCGGACTGAACCACACCAAAAATAATAGATAGTTAAGTGTAATAGAAAAATTACACTGYTCAAATAATAATAATATAATAGTTATAATATGTCTAAGATTTTTGTGAAATGTGGTGTTTATGATAAAAATAAATGATAACTGAACGAATTTATACCAAATTATATAACTAAAAAATGACTGAACTAAATTGTTCGTTATACTAGACAAATAATTTGATTTTATACTATTTATATTAAGTATTTTTTTCCTTACAAATTTTAATACATAAAATGGTAATAGTTTTGGATCCTAACTTCCAAGGTATGGGGAATGCCTAGTTGCTTACCTTTGTAAAATTTTAGTCATAATATACCATATGCATAAGAATTTTAATAAGAAGATTTTACACTTACAACTTACAAGAGTGTTTATCCCCGTTCTATAAAAGTACAATACCTACAGCAAATTTGTGTTTATCAGAATCTATTCTGTGTCGTTAATTGAATTAGCGATATACCACTGCAGATATTAGCCGATTGCTAAATTTATAGGTAAGTATAATAACTAGATCCAAGGTTGTCGACAATATTGATCTAAGACATCTCGTAGCCCGTAGGCTTTTATTGATTTCAATTTTAAAATTTGTTATACAAACAATTTATCATGYGAAGTATTATAATTTTTAAATGTGCATATGACTTGTTTTAAAATTTAAATATTAGTAAAATCTTACGAGATTATCCTGATAATATTTTCACCTTTAATGTTCACAGCAGGACGCAGCTAAACACATCCCTTCAMTTAAATTAACGATACTAAATGAATTCTGCTGAACATAAATGTGGAATGTTTGTTACATGGTGAATATATCGGTATATTCATYTAAGAAGACGTTAAATCGTTAACGCCTTTTTAACAAGGTGATGAATGACGATAGGATGGAGTGAATATACTCTAATATAATCGTATTTTATCTTTTTCATTATTATTTGAATAATAATTAAAAAATATATTACATAAATCATTTTCAGCCTAAATAGTTTATTAACTTTAATATTATATGTTAGATACTCATACAAGTCATACTCATAGGATCCGAAAGACGATATTTATATATATATAAGAAGTCGTGAATCAAAATATTTTGGGGAAAATGGGAATGAACCACTTGTAGATACATAGATACAATATACGGTTATACGTAATAACTTACTTATTACTTACCATTACCCACGCAGGTTCTACTTGTGTTTTGAACGAACTGAATACATGTATCAGATACGGCGCATACGGTACACCGGACATAACGTTTGAGAAAAATATGTAGATCAACATGAGTTTAAGCGGACTCCACAATCCCGGATGTGAAAAGCTACCGAGAGCCGAAGGTTTTTGTTTTGCTTCTTCTGCAAAAAACATTGTCAAAATGCTATTTTAATTTATTCTGAAACATGCAGCCTATACTTATATNTTTTTTTTTTTACAATATGAATTCAATACGGACAATATTTTTGGGAAAAACCTTATATTTAGTTATCAGATTTTATCAATGTCTGAACTGTTAATTCTTGAAGAAAGGTGTAAAGTGACACTGGATTAGGTATGTTTGTCCTTGTGTTAGTCTCCTTGTTTATTACCTGTGTAATTCACTCATCTAAACATTAAATATGATAAAACTAGGTAACTAACTATTTGTTTGTATTAAAATTGAAAATTTTCAAAAAAAATACTCTGCTTTGGAATCTGAAATTAAAAATGTATATTTTCATTACAATCTTTAAAAAAAAAACTATTCTAACGATAAAATAGTAAAGTAGCTGTATATATATATATTTTAAATGTTGTCGTGCAATACATAAAGACACCATTCATAGTATAACTAATGTATCGTGTATATTATTACAGGTATCATTATAGGTATAGGTGACTATTGAATAATACATAGTAAAATAATACTCTATACGTGCAAATATAAATGTATATATATATATATAAATTTCTGTTGTAAAGTCAGTCTATAGTCTATACAATATAATAATTCATAATATTATAAAACATAATGTAATAAATTCGAATATGTCTTTTTAGTTCAATCACAAATTTACGTACATATTTTAATATTACATCGTGATAAACATGCAAGTACGTATGAGTATACATATTTTTGAGGATTCTCTAACGCGCTGTTTACCATTTAAACTATAAGCCCGACAAATATTATCAACGTGGTAAAATATTATTATAATATACAATATAAATATCGTTTAAMATATTCCAATGCACATAATATGCATAATTATTGCATTAAATTAAATTATATAATTATAACGTGCACGGGCCAACGCTTTTCGAATAGGAATAATTATTTATATAGGTATATATTATGATACATATCAGATGTATTGGGTGTAGGTAGGTGGGTGGACAGGTATACTTTTTTCCATAAGTTACACCGTTTCGAGCTTAAAGTGTTCGGCAATCTCTTTTAACGTTTTGTTTTCGGTTTCGGGGAGACGAAAGTAGAAATACACAAGACCAATTATCCCCACGACGCCGAATAGGACGAATGTGTTGTAGAAGCCGATAAACTCCTCGAGATTCATGTAGAACTTGGTCATGAAGAAGCTGAGAAAGAAATACACTGCGGAGCATATGCTGCAACCCAGGTTTTTGCTTCTGGAATGAAAAAAAGTAAATTTTGGGAGCTATATTTTGAAACATAAATGGCCCCTGCAAGGTAACTCGAACAATTGTTTTTATTTACAAATCATGAAGCACTGTATAAAATATAATGGTGTGTAATATGCTAATATATTATTATTTTATGCGTACTTCATCGGGAACACTTCGCTCATGAGGATCCATCCAATCGGCATWATGCCCAGCGACGAAGATAACGTTGACCCGAAGAACAGTGCCAATTTCGCCCAGGACGTGTATTCGGTATCGACATAAAATTGTCCGACGAAACCGATGAGCAGGTACGAAATCGAGCAGACGGTTATGGTCGACAGCACAAGGCATCTCTTGCCTAGCCGGTGCACCAACAGGATGGTTAACACATTGCCAATGATGCTGAAGCCGGGGTAGGCGGACTGAACCACACCAAAAATAATAGATAGTTAAGTGTAATAGAAAAATTACACTGYTCAAATAATAATAATATAATAGTTATAATATGTCTAAGATTTTTGTGAAATGTGGTGTTTATGATAAAAATAAATGATAACTGAACGAATTTATACCAAATTATATAACTAAAAAATGACTGAACTAA